TTGACTAATCCCCCCGATTTGTGCTAAAAATGGGTGAAAATAATTTAATATGCATTACTTATGATTTTGATAATCAAATTTATGAGGTGATGCTGATCTACTGGCTGAAGAAGATCAACCGCTCGTCCTATTATTAGACCTACATCTAGAGTGTCTTCTTGAGCAATTAGCACTGCTGCTTGGTTAGGATTCATTGTTGACATTGAAAGCAAATTAATATACAAAAGTACATGAAGAGTACAAGTGCGAAAATCAAAATATACAATCTATAGATTTGAATTTTTGTATCAAAACATAAGGTTAGGTTAAGTTGTTATGATGCTTCTGAGACAAGGAAAGAGAGTTCCTTGTGTAAGGGATGCTAAAAAGGGCGTTCAGCAGGACAACCAATCGATGGCACATCGCTCATTGATCAACTTGTCCTGATGAACGCGACCATTATACTTACAATTATACCCCTATATAATTATACCATGGGCAAATTTGCGGTGAACAAGCAGCTCTAAAAAGTTTTCTAAAATATACATGAAAATTATTTAAAAGAAAATGCAAGATTTTGAAATTTTTTTTATGAAAAAAAACTAGACTATAGGTGTGCTCCTCGAAATATACCACCCTGAAACACATTTGGACTTATTTAATCCTCTCACCCTGTAAATCGACAAAATGACGAAGTATTGCTATTAGCGAATACAGTTTTTATATGAAACTTTGCCAGATACTATTAATGAATTAAAATTTCATCATTTATGTAAATATTAATAAATTCTAGGTAAACTACATATGTAATCTTTACAGCTTAGTTTTTAGAATACCATACAGTCGCCAAAACCAGATTTACAGAAAAAAAATCATCGACCAAAGTACACAATGTGTACCTTTCTAATATTAGATTAGATTAAAGTTAAACCACAGTTAAACACTACCGAAATGCCTAAGGTTGAGACATAAACAGACTTTGACCAGCGCGTTTTATTGGACAAGAAATGAGGTGTGTAAATCAGGCCTCAGCTGATAACATAAACCATAAATATTTCCTAACTAGACACCTCCTAGAAGCAAAATAACGCTAATATATAGGATTATTGTTAGAAGATCACATTTATAACTCCAATCATATTAAAATGTTAAGACCTTATTAAAGTGCCTCTCGAAAGTGGCTACCCCTATAACTTTTTTATTTTTTTCAGATAAAAAAAAACAGATTTGGTACGTTAGTAGATGTATGGACATAAATTAAGATTGATTTTGATCGACGTATTCAGTTGATTTTGGTCACTTCCTGTTTCACCGGAAATGACTACAACTTTTGATTTTTAAATGGCACCCTCGGTATTTTTTACTTTATTCGATATTCGAGAATGACACTCTGTATAGGATGACATTATCATATGTCAAGGCTCAACTTTCGTTTAGCTGAAATCTGTTATATAAAAGATGACTTTATATATGCGTTCTAGAAGGCGTTAGGAGTACAAATATACAAAAATGTTCCTGCGGAAATGCGACATTTTCATTTTTCGGACTTTAGTATAGCCGAAATCTGTTACATCAAAAATAATCTTCAGGGTGTGTTTTAGACATTTTTCTAAACATAAAAACACAAAAAAGTGTCTGCGGAAATTTTTTATTTTTATTTTACATAAAAAAATGCTTTGACTTTAGAATAGCCGAAATCAGATACATGAAAAATGAACTTATATTTGTTTTATACGCGCCTTTACGAGCAAAGAAATACAAAAAAAAATTCTTGCGGAAATGTGTCAGTCATTTTGTGCACTTTGTTTTTCATACATTTTTCAGTTTAGAAGCTTACGGGCAGGGTCGGAAGTAGTTAAATTAAGACGTAATTTACGTAATCTATTACGACGTCGTAATCTATTACGACGTAAACTACGTTTATAAACTATGCATTGATATTATGAATAATTTTGCTTTGTATGAGGGGTCTAAATAATATGTGTGAATATTATATTTAAAGCCATATTTCTTCTGTTTTCTTAAATACATTGTGTTTTCCAAAGCTTCAACTTATTATAACCTCACCTCAAACCTTTGATATTTGAAAGTTACATACATAGGTTACATAAACTACACCCTCTACATAAACTACATGTAATGTAGTTTATGTAGTTTTTATAAGTAACACGTAGTTTTCCGACCCTGCTTACAGGACCCGGGAGCGAATAGGGGTACTGGGTGGGGTAAAACATCTTTCGGAGGAATAACAATTCTTGTAGAATAGATAATATAGGTTCTTGTAAACCCTATAAGTACCTCGGAATATTGCACTTGTTCTTGTTTTTTTATTAAAGCTTTACGTAAATAGGGCTGATTCAAAACAAAAAATCATTGGATCATGCAGTTTTCTTTTATATTTTAATAATTAACTGTGATTTTGCAAAAATATTAGATTGGTTAGCATTTGGGTTGCTTTGGTTAGCTTTTCTTTGTGGAGGGTGTAAGCTGTGGGTGTTATGTTATTTAACTGTGATTTTGTAAAAATATTAGATTTATTATTAGATTGGTTAGCATTTTAGACACTTTTAAATGATTTTTTTGGTTCAAAAGTGCTGCATCTTCATCCAAGGATTTTTTTTCTTTTAAATTGTTCTATAAACATAGGACTTATAATATAATTAAGACCCGATAATATAATAAAAAACAAATAATGGAAAATGAAAGTCAAGCATTTCCGCAGGAAATTTTTTATTTTCCTTATATATTTATTTTTTATATAACTGATTTCAGCTATTCTAAAGTCTATTAAATTCCCTCAGAAAATGGATACAGCTTATTTCCGCAGGAAAATTTGTGTTTTCCGTGGTTCACAGTACCTTTTTAAAGACAATTTTTTTTTCTAACTGATTTCAGCTAAACGAAAGTTTACCCTAGTATGGTTTACCCTATGTCAACTTTTGACAGTTTCGCATATTATTTATCGCGGTTTATTTGAAATTGTAACCTCCGGTTCATAATGACAATTTGACTCGAAATACCAAGTGTGTGGTACCACAAGTAGGGGTAGAAGGCCGATTCTGCATCAGGAGCAGGAGCAGAGCGCACAGCGCATGCGCGTAAATCAGCTAGGAACATGTAAAATAGGCTAATAAACAAGAATAAACGGGTTTGAACCGCTTTGAACCGCTTTTGAACAGCTTTGAACGGGTTTGAACAAAAACTGAACAGGTCTGTTGTTTTACGCTAAAAAGCTGTTCAAAGCTGTTCAAAGCAGTTCAAACCCGTTTATTCTTGTTTATTAGCCTATTTTACATGTTCCTAGCTGATTTACGCGCATGCGCTGTGCGCTCTGCTCCTGCTCCTGATGCAGAATCGGCCTTCTACCCCTACTACCACATTATTCGTAAAAAAATGCTTTTTCCAAATATGCATATATGAAAAAATTGAGATATGATTGAAATACGATTTGGGCATCTTTTAACCGGCCAGGACAAGACACTAAAAACATTAAACGATCAAATCTATTTTTTCAAGACTCCTTGAGTAAAACATTAGTTTTGTTAACACAACGATGGCACTCAAGCTGGACATTTAAAATCCAATGTTTTTAAGCGAATACGTCAAGTTGACATATAAACTATTATGTCAACTCAATATCTATTCAGAGTGACATTTTCTATCGAATAAAATAGCGAGAGTGCCATTTAAAAATCAAAAGTTGTAGTCAGTTCCGGTGAAACAGGAAGTGACCGAAAAGAATTGAATCAATTCGTCAGTCAATCCTAATTTATGTCATATAGTAACACACCAGATCTTGTTTTTTTTTATCTCAAAAAATAAAAAAAGTTATAGGGGTGAGCCACTTTTGAGACGCACCCGGTATACAAATAATATTGCAATCGATTCCTGTTTTATGTCAATTACAGGTTACTAACAAGTACGCATGTCTATGTATTATATGATCTGAGACATTATATAGTTCCTCCTCCAAAATAATTTAGAAGTAACACTTCTCACTGATCACTTCTCTCGCTTTATGTTTGTAGCATTGGAATCTCCTTATGACGTAAAATTGATGTCGACAGAGTTCAAAGATAAACGTTTAGTTTTGATTTTGTTTGATTATTTTTTAAATATCGAATACTCTCTTAATAGAAATAAATGTTTGTAAATATTTTGATAAGATTCCCTTAGTAACAAAATTATATAAATATAACAATACTTTAGTTACTTGAATAAATTTAGATCAGTAGTAACATAAATAGATCATACTAATTTGGAGAATTAAAATATTTTAAGAAACGTGTTTTTTGATTATGATTTTCCACAGATAGCCAAAGAATATTAACTTTTAATTAACTTACCTGCGTAGTATCCTTGATATAGTCATTTTGTTGTTAATCTGTGAATAATTAGAAAAATATTTATACCTTTAAACTTTAAATGATAAATTTTAATTTATTTAATTAAATGCACATTATTTAGAATAACACCCAAAATGAAAATGTATTGTAATATGTAATTTAATGTTTTTTTTTGGAAGCATCTGTGATATATAGTTATCTTTTGTTTATATACTATTAATGCATTTTGCTTTTATAATAAAATGATAAGGGCACAAAGATAAAGTACATATAACTATAATAAGGTAAATATAATAAAGATTTACAACATGATTTACTTACATAAAAATCCTAAACCTTTAATTTGGTTCTGTACAGTTTCTTTCACAACACTGATGTTACACTTATAAGAATTCAACTCAAAAACAATCGATTTCGTCAATCTAATGAACAAACACAAGAAAAATAGTAAATATCTCTCAATAGATTAATTCAGTTCAACAATAAAAACATTGCATCTGCCCCTTAGCAGTGCTTTCTACATAATTAAATTTCTTTTTCACTGCAAAGTGAACGTTATATACGCGATAACACCTAAGAAAAATATTATTGATGTTTTATTAATTTATTTTCTTTAAACATTGAACTTGGTTTAATTTATGATTATGAATATCTATATGGTTTTAAAAATAAAAATCATTTTTTGGAAAATATTATTCTTAAATCTTCAAAGATACAAAAATAAAGTGTAAATAACAACCGTCATGAAATAAAAAGAATATTATATATGGTGCATTAATATCTACATAAATAAGTTATTACTGGGTGACCTTAAATTAGTTGTTTTTAATTAGCTTCCTTCAAAACTTTCCTGCCCATGGAGAGAGGAGTAAAAGTACTTTTACTAGGAGGAGGATTCAGTTTACTTGTAAGATAAACAAAGGGTTCATATAAACTAGACCTCTGCATAGCCGAAGCTGTGAAGTGTCTCAGTTTTTCTCGATTACACCAATCCGTTGCTCTATTTACCACGCTTTCACTCTCACTAATATCAGAACTTTTTGTTCTGTTTCCAATAACAATAATTGTGACCTTAAACCCATACACAAATATATAGAAAAATATAAAATATAGATACAGTGACGTACCTCTTTCTTGTCTTTGTTTTTATCAATATCTTTCTTTATTGCCATAAGAATATCTAACGAATTTATCTTTTCTGTGTCATAAACCAAAAGATATCCATCAGCTAAGACTAAATAATGCCTCAATAATTGCTGGCTTGTTGTACCGTGAGCGGTGGAAGTTTGAGTATTTTCTATACCTGCTGTATCATAAAACCTAACTTTTTCTCTTACTCCTTTGTCTGATTCTATATTAGCAACGTAAATATCTTCTATTGTTGGATGTAATATCTAAAAGAAGTTACCTGAATATATCTTATTTAAAAATTATGGAAAGCAATTACAGATTGGTTAGAGATATGACCATAAATAACTTGTTCTAAAATAGCTGTTTTGCCCACTCCTTTCATTCCGCAAACCACTACTTTAGAAGTTTTTCCCATATCATCAAAATGAGTTTTTTGTATTTTAATAAAATTTCTGTTTATTGATATTTTCTTGACATTTCGGGGACAACTTTTTTCAGGTTATAATTTGTGACAGATACCAGTAGCGAGATCTATGGATAAACTTACATACGAGAGAAAGGAATCTATTTTTGGAGCTAGATTACTATATTATTTTATGTTTTGTTGGTTGCCTATAGTTATAAGTTGAGTTATTAGTAACTAGATGGCACTATCTCCTATAATTTAAAAATATCTTTCTAGCTTTATTTATGGGGAAGATTAAAATTAGAACTACTCCTATCTGCTATGAAATATTTTTGAAGTTTTATATAGAAAAAAGACAATTTAGTGTTACTAGTGGCTTCAATTTTTAATGAACACTAAGAAAGGGTTAATTCAGTTACATCTTCCCCTATTTAATTGGAATTGCAAGGTTAGATGCTAATGCTACAAGAACTCCGTAACGGGGTGACGACAATCTCCCTTGATTCAATTTCAGGCTGATTTTATTTGATTCGGTATAATTGAATGAAGCCGGCGACAGAGCAGCAGGAGAAACAGCATTCATTCACTCTTGCATTTGTGCTGAAAGCATCTCTATTCGGTTTTCTGTCTCTTTTTGGTCTGAATCTTTCCATATAGTCGCTTTTATTCCCTTTCCAGGTTTGAAATTCACTTAAAACGCACCGATAATCACGTTGGAGAATTGTCGGTGGAAGTTAAGTGTAATGTTAAAGGAGATTGAAAGAAAAATGTGTTTTTTAGTCTTTTTTCTTTAGAGAAACAGAGAAGAATGAGAACAGTGGTCAGAATGAGAAGAATGGTCCACTTAAAAATTAAGTTATTATCAATCACTAAATTATATCAGATTCACTAATGTAGGTACAGTGGAGACTTCTTAATCCGGACTAATTAAAAGAAGGAAGATCCGGATTATCGGAAAACCGTTATTAATGAGTCGTCGTAGAAAACATAAAAAATGAGAATTTATGCCATCAAACATTTATTATTCCTACAAATATCAAAAATAAATACGAACATATACAGGGTGAGTTTCCTACGATGTTCTCTATGGGTATCTCGGAAACTACTGAAGATAGAGAGTCGGTTAAATGGGGAAAGAATTGCAGTTTTGTGGGGTCATAAATATGCGCCTTTCAGATACTTGAAAAAAAAAACAAATTTTGGCTATTTTAAAAATTGTCCCTAATTCCATTATAATATATTTTAGACAAACAGTTTTCAGATGAAAGTTGTAGATAATCACACCCCTAATGAGTTTGTGTCCTCCAATTTTTTCTAAAATGTGTCATTTTGGACATATGACACAAACATATGTTTTTAAATGGAAACCATAGTTGACCATGACTTCGTTAAAAGCGCAATTTTTTAGTCAATTGTCAAGAGTTATAGCCAATTCTTATCATTTTTAAACAATTTCACTTAGTTAGCCATGGATGGAAACAAGATTAATCGTAGTGAAATGTGACACTGTCACTTCCAAACTTTGTAAATTAAAATAAACAAAAATGATTCCATGCCTGGGAACGATTTTTGCTCAGTAGTCAGCTAAGTTAGCTGCGCTTTCGTATTGTGTCTCTGCTATCATAGAATTAATATCGCTGCGAAAAATTCGCTGGAACCTGTCACAAACTAAAACGAGCGAAACTAAACTACAATTTGAATCTTCGTTCATATATTTTCGTTTAGTTTCGCTCAGGTGGCCGCTGATGCATTTAAAAGTATGCGAGCTGATTTTTACAAATCTTATCTTCGATTGGCTTAGTTTAGTTTCGCTCGCAGTGGCCGCCCGCCTTTAATGTAGGAGAAATAATAAGACAGTAAAGAACACATCGTTCAGTGGCCATCTTCACACTAATTTCTAGCCTACAGCATGGGATATTGTGTGTGGTTTAAATACATTTGGTGAGCGTAGCAGTGTTACGATAGCCTGCGTACCATTGTGCAAGGGTCACAAGGGTAACGAAAAGGCAGATGAAATGACCAAACCAGGATCATCAATGCCATTCATAAGCCCAGAACCCAGAACCCTTCTGCGGCGTTGCAAAAGCAGTCACAAGAATAGCCACAAAACGATGGGTGGCCAACAGAACAAATCTCTAAAATGGTGGAGAATTTTTACAATTTCATAATCAATTCACCAGGGCAGAGACAAGTGAAAAAATCCATAGTAGAACATTCGCCAAAATTCACGGCAGACCTGATAAGCAAAGGCAGAAATACAGTCAAAGCTGTGTGTACTAACAGAGCATTGTAAGCTAAATAGGCATCTAAAGCTAACGGAATTGACGGATGAATCTGTGAGCAGGTTCTGTAAATCTGAAGAAGAAACGACAGACCGTTGACAGATATATGGTGGGTTCAGTCTCCAAATTTTTAGACTTTTTGAAAAGGATAGGAATTGAGAATGTTTTATAAGGATCAGAAGAGGACCACCATAGATCTGAAAAGGTCGCAGTGTAATCCTTCGCAAAGTGTTTTGTTAATTTATAATAAGTGACATATAGAGCAATTGACTTGACAGAAGTTCGATTGTCGTTTCAAAGACCACCGTGACGGCATTTTTTTTCGATCGTACGGTATTTTTCCCTGCATATAAGAAGCAGATATCGTCTCACAATCGTCCCAAAAGCCAATCAAGCATAGTGCGAACCGGTGTCCGCTGACCGTCGGGAGGCGTCGTCTCACTCCCAACGGCGGCGTCGGTGGCGTCGGCGTCCCGTAATTTATTGCCAGCGAGGAGGAAGCAGCAGCAGCAGCGGAGCCCCTTAGGAGGCGGGGGCCCGTGCTACCGGCCCCGAATTTACATAATACCCGATTCCGTACTCAATTCGCGCTGATGAATGAGATTTGGCCTGGTCCACGGACACACTCTGCGGATTAAATTTGCATCGTTCGGTCGTAATCGGGCAACGGCAACGATTTAGTAGTTATATTTTGAGGCGCGGGCCGAGAGCAATATCATAAAAGTTTTACGTAACTGTGCGGAGACCGTTTTATTGAGATTGCTCCTCCGTCGCGTCGTGGGCACCGTCTGTCTGTCTTTGCATACGGACGACAGATTTATTAGTTGTTTTGTTTTGTTTTATCCCTAGGTCTCGCTTTGTAATATCAATTTTCATACAGGATAGAATTTAGAATAAGTGGGAAGGGGGGTTAATCACCGCGACCTAAAAGATCTATTGTGTCCCCCTTTCTTGAGTTATAACGAGTTATAACTCATTATACAGTCTCACGGCTTTGACAAAGGCCATCAGTATCTGAGACAGCTCCACAGAGGCCTGCTCTCCATCTCCGACATCAGCCGTGTCAAAGTTTATGGCACGAACGGTTGTCGTCTCGGCGCACTCAGTGATGAGGTGTTCTGGTGTTTTCCCATTTTCCCCACAGAATCTGCATTCGCCGTTTTTTCTTAGCTTCAATCTACTGAGGTGTTCATTGAGGAGGCAGTATCCTGTTAAAAACCCCGTGATGATCCGATGATTGTACTTAGTTAAATCAAGAAAAATCTTTGACTTTTCTTGATTTATGTAAGAACAATCTAAGTTAAGTAAGAAATCTTTGATTTTTCTCGGTCGTAAGTCCTGAGAAACTTCTTCGAATGTCTTAGCCCGCGGTTACATTGGACGCGGGTCCGTGCGTTTTTTTATGCGTACGAGCTCTGACGGAATTTACTCGTACGACTATTTTATTTTAGTTGTTACATTAGATGCGCGTTCATGGGTCCTGTGAGTCGAGTTTGTCAAAACAAGCGCCACTACTTTGATGCCGTGTGAGGATATAATGTTAAAATAACTGCTCATGAAAAGAAGAAAATGTTGGGTAAATGATTTACATATATGCAAGAAGAGGAGAAGAAAATGAATATGTTAAACATTTTGTGAATTAAAACAGCAACCGGTCAATTTTTTTGAATATTTTAGGATGTCTCCATCAACATTAATATATCCCAAATAAAATTAAACCTAGTATTCAAAAATATTCAAATTTTTCGGGAATGTATTGGAATCAGAAAAGAAGAATTTGAACGCTTGGACGTGCACGTATTAAGAAACAAATCAGTTTATTTTCATCCGACCAACGTAAATTGGCGCACGTGCACGGACGCGCAAACTCCGATGCAATGTAACCGCCTGCGTAGACAAAATTTGTTTGTTTTTTGCTGCGTGCACGTCCGTGCACGTACGACAAAAAAAAAACGCACGGACACGCATCCAATGTAACCACGGGCTTAGACCGTTGCAGGATTCCTATTCCAGGTTACGGATGGAGTTTCCTGAATTCAAGTTCCTGATTTCAAGTTCCTGATTTCTGCTTTTAGTTGATTTCTACTTGGGAAGCAGAACAGTTTTGGTCCAGTTAGTGGACTGTTTGCTCCTTTTCTAGCTAGATCATTTGCTTTCTCATTACTGCTATTCGTTGGTGAGTTCGCATCCAGAGCAGGAGGGCTGTTTTTTGCCTAATTTGTTCAGCTTTTCTAGGCATTCTTAATTATTAACCTTTGACCAACTTCGAATTGATTGATACTGAGTTGATCGCTTTTAACGCTACTTGATTCTCAGATAAGACGGCTATTTATTGTTTCCGATAGTTCCTATCTGAGATAAGTTGTACGCATCTTTCGATAGCGTAGATTTTTGCCTGTGGGATGCTAGGGTAGATGTCCATTGGGTCTGAGTATTTAGTTTTCGATCCAAACACTCCAATCCAAAAGTAGTCTGAACTGTTAAGGAACATTATAGTTAGATTATTTTAATTTATTTTAGTGAGAATGATGATAGATTATACTATACTTTACATATTTATTTTTTATGAGCCAATTATATCTACCGGATGGTCCAAATCGTATGGGGAAACTTCGGAAGCATATTCTGCAGATAAAAATAATTAAAAAGAGTTCGTATGAATTTAATTGTACATTGTACCTATTTTTTTATTTAAAATCATTTGTTTTTGAGATACGGGTATAGAAGTTTTTTTTTTCTATATTCCAAATAATTTATGAAATAAGGTCGATATTTTAATGAAAATTGTTTTTTTCATAATAAATTTGAT